TACCTCCAGAAGGACTGTTCTACGGTGTGGGCAACTGGGAAGTGATAACTACCTTGATACCACTAACAGCACTCAAGACCACTGTATTCATAATCAACCTCCCTCTTCAATTCTATCATTCCTCCTACATCGACTTCAAACTCTAAACTTCTTTTTTCGGCTTCCCCATCAAGTGTCACCATAGCCAACGATTCTAGTGCTCAAAACACTGTCCCGGGTCTACTGAAACCTCGCTCCACACTACACATTGGAGCCTTCAATGTACGCACCCTATGTCAAATCGGTCAGCAGGCTTCCTTGGCTAAAACCCTAGAATCTCGTACCATTGATGTATGCTGTGTCTCCGAAACACGCATACAGGATCCCAGTGTGGTAATTCACTTGACCTCACCTCGGCAAAACGGAGAGCCGACGAGATAAACCCTCCGTGTATCTGTTGACCCGATGGCCAGCTCTCGTGGACTGGCAGGAGTAGGGATAGCACTAAGCATGAGGGCGGAACAAGCACTGTTAGAGTGGATCCTCGTCAACAGTCGTCTATGTGCTGTTCGGCTAAACGGCTCCGTAAGGACTCGGGAGGATAGGGACACACGTCGTTGCCTTTTTGTTGTTTCTACCTACGCTCCCACTGACTGCAGCTCAGATGATGTGAAAGATGAATTTTACAGAAAGCTCTCTGAACTTCTTCAGAAAGCTAAACGTTCAGACATAGTACTCGTAGCAGGTGACTTTAATGCCCAGATAGGTAGTTTAAACCAAACAGAAAGACATTTAGGTGGGTATTTTAGTATTCCGACACAACGAACAGATAATGGTGATCGTCTGCTGCAACTGTGCTCAGACAATCGTCTATTTTTAGCAAACACACATTTTAAGCATAAGGAGAGACATCGTCTAACATGGTGACCCCTTACACCAAACCAACGATGGACTCAAATAGACCATATTGCCATCAGTCATCGTTGGAGAGGGTCGATAGAAGATTGTCGCTCATTCTGAATAACCTGTTTAGACTCCGACCATGCCTTAATACGGGGACGCATCTGCTTGCGCCTCACTGGACGCAAAAAAGCCACATTAAAAAGACCCATTAGAACTGAGTTGAGTAACGAGAAAACCAAAAGTAGGTTCCAGTAACAACTGAGGTCACACTTAGGTAGTTCTGAAAACGAGGCTGACCCAGATGTTGCTTGGAAAGATATGCAAGCAGCTGTGGAAACAGAAGTGACGTCTATTAGTGATATAAACCACAGGGTCACGAAGAACCAATGGATTTCTTTGAGGTCTATTACACTAATGGATTCTCGTGAACCCATCCCATCAGGCTCTGAACACGATGAAGATCGAAAACAAATCAGATCTAGGTTAACCAAAAGTCTGAGGAACGACCGTGAGCAGTGGTGGGAAACGAAAGCAAAAGATGGAAAAGGCGGCGGCTATAAGGAAAACAAGACAGCACTACAGACTAATAAAAGAAACTGGAACTAATAAGTCAAGTGTAAGAGAGAATATCTCGGAAAAAGACAACGATCTCATCTGCTCCCAGTCTAGACGTTTAGAACGGTGGACAGAACATTTTAGAGAACAGTTCAGCTGGCCTACAGCTACTCTACAACTACCCTCCGTTCGCAGACAGTGTGAATGGAACATTGGGGTAGGTCCCCCGTATGTAACATTTTTTGTTATTGCTATCGCAAATACTGCAGTAAAACATCACTTTATTTATCGAACGGCATATAATTTTTATGTCCACTTCTACTGTATTTCAGTTTAACGTAATCCATAATTTCAAGTCAGCAAAGCTTTCATTGATATTTTCACTTATTTTCGTACAGAAGCGTTTGCGGCCTGTTTCAAGTTTGGTTATAGCTTTTCTATTTACGGTTATGGGATCATCGGGTAAGTAATAGTGAGGTTAGACTCAGGGTATTAGGGAATGATGGTAAATCTTCACCAACTGAGATGGTTGGGTCACCGATAATCACGGCGCGCAATACTGACTAGTGTTGGGGATGGTTGGAAGAAAATTAGGGGCGGCGAAACCAAAACGTGGCATCAGTACTTTAAGTTACTAGCTTCTAGTCTTAGCCATACTGGTAGATGCAGACCACTTGGTTGAAGTTCGTGTGACTATCGTAAGGAATGATTGGAGACTATGGGTGACATGACTCAGAATCGATCACAATGACGTAGAAGTGTACACTTTCTGTCTTCCCTTAAACTATGAGATTACGATTGCTTTATATCTTCCTTTATACGACCTAATTCTTTCTTCATGTATTATATCCTTATATGCAATCTTTATTTTATATATCACCACCACTGAATTAGCTGCTTCTGTGAATTCGGTGTTCATCTCGTTGTGCTAATGAGGTGTGGTAACTTGAACCGATGCATATATGTGTCTGGTTCTACGTTGTAGCTGACTGACTGACTTTGTTTGACTTCTGCCACTCAAACCGTTGTTTAAAACCGTTAAACACGTCGTTTTTTTTCATTAATACTTCATTCTCATAACTTGCCGTTTGCTATTAATATTAATTTCAAATACAGAAAAATTTGCCACTTCATTATTTGAATCAATTTATGTAGTAATATGTTATAATTTATGAGGAAATGTATAAGCATACACCATCCAAAATCCGTGTAACTATTGTCTTTTTGGAATAGCAGTATTCGTTATTCTTATTTTCCAACCGATTACTTTGTTGTAATCATATGGCGATGCATTTACTTAGGATATTTTTGCTAGACTGCCTACCGTTATCTTTGATTTTTGCCAATATTCTACTAACTTATAGAGAACACAAGACAGCTCTACAGACTAATAAAAGAAACTGGAATTAATAAGTCAAGTGTAAGTCAGACTATTTCGGAAAAAGATGACACATCAGAGAACAGTTCAGCTGGCCTACAGCTACTCTACAACTACCCTCCATTCCCAGACAGTGTGAATGGAACATTGAAGTAGGTCCCCCAACTCTAGCAGTAGTTCAAAAGGCTATAGTTAATCTGAAACGAGGAAGGGTAGCTGGTCCAGTTGGATTGGCTCCAGAGGTCTTTAAGGATGGTGGTCCAATTTTAGCGATTAGGTTGACTAATATTTTAGCTAAAATCTGGGAATTAGACGTTATCCCATCTTAGTAGTCACAATCACTTATCGTCCCAATATATAAGAAAGGGTCAAAATCATCCTCTGATAACAATAGAGGGATTGGTTCAACTAATATTGCATCTCAAATACTAGCCTCAATAATTATCGGACGCCTAACTAAGACTCGTGAACTGCAAACACGAGAGAACCAAGCTGGCTTCAGACCTGGTCGTGGCTGCATCGACCACATATTTACCATTCGTCAGATTCTAGAACACAGGCATACTTATCGACGCCCGACAATGGTGGTCTTTCTCGACTTAAAAGTAGCATTTGACTCTGTAGACCGCGAGATTCTGTGGCAGTGTCTGTCATTGAGAGGCGTACCTCAGAAGTACATAAACCTTGTAAAGGCTCTTTACTCAAACACTACCAGTCGAGTAAGAGCTTATGGCGAACTGTCATCTGCTTTTGCAACCTCAAGTGGTGTCCGTCAAGGCTGTCCACTTTTTCCATTTTTGTTTAACTTCATCATAGACCTATTGATGGAAATAACATTCTCGTCGATTGAATTCTCGGGTATTGATCTTCTTCCAGTAGGTCCACTTATCGACTTAGAATACGCGGATGACATAGTCCTGTTTGGTGAAGACGATGACGAAGTGCAGAGTGTTTTGGTAGCACTAAGCAACAATGCCAGAATGAGGAAATTATGGAGTCTGTATATTCGTTCGCCAGTTTTGATGTAATTTTTATGAAAATGGAGAGAAACGAAATTGTAAACGATTTTACGATGCAGCGCGAGCTTTAGGTATTCATAATCTAGGTCTGAGACATTGAACAGTTACTTTTGAAACTGTTTTAGCTTTATTCGCAACAATTCAAGAAAAATGTAAGAGCCAAGTTTGAAGTCTAACCTTGTTATTGTTTTCGTTAGACTCTGTGTTTAAGTTGTAATACTTGTTGTTAATATAACTAGCCATTCTCCCTCGCTCTGTATTCTACTTCTATTTCTACAGGGTCGCATAGCTTAAAAAAACTTGCTTTCAGCTGCTGCTAAGATATCTAACCTTAGTAGCCGATGTTTTGACGGTTAGTTGAATGTCTTAGGAATACACCGTAGTGGTGTTGGCTTTTGACACATGTTGTGATGTCTGGTACGTATTATTTTCGAACAAGTCCCGTAGTTAGATCAATTGTAATTATTTAATACATTTTCGGAAACGTTGCTTCGCCGAATCTTATTTGCAGCATCATATATTAGTTTCCTGATACAGGAAGCCCATTCACTTTAATTGAAGAATGAATTGTTTAGGATTTAAAGGAATAATGGTAAATTCTCATTCGTATTCCGTGCTCAGTGTTCTTAAGGAATCTGTTTGAATTTCCTTTTTCATTTAGTGTTCATTGCTGGCATGATTTGGGCACGTGGCCTCGGCTTTTTGTTTTCCAGAAAGTTGATTCTTCCTCATTTAAACTTTTCATATTGCTCTCGCAATTTTTCTTACATAAGTTCACTACTTGGAATTTGAACATTCGACTAAACAGAAATCATATGATGGTCGGTTGTACGTGTATTTTATAGTTTAGTCATCCTCAACGTAGTCTGGCGCAAATGTGCTTTATCGTGTGTTACCATGTCATAATACCACGATAAGACATCTTTTATGAATAAATGAGTTGAAAGTATAGTAGTGAGTATAATAAGAATTACAATGTCGAGAATGTTACTCATCATTTATTTCACATATCCATATTTTCTCTTCCAGGTTTTTAATGAGCGAAATAATCTTAAACGTAAACATTCCTGGGTAGTTGTAGCATACACTAAAAGCCAGACGGTGACGTAACATTACCATATTGTTTCTTGGAGTACTGAAGTTATTCTTTGTTATTTCATTGTGTTATGGGTTGCCACGTTTCAGCTGATAGTTCTAATAGTTTTACGTGGGACGACTATCTTAAGAAAACAAACGGTCGCCCGGCGAAGTTGGAGTGCTTCAAACAGGTTAGTAGTGTATTATTTTGTAGGATACAAATTTGACTTAGAATGAGTAGTTTATTTTACTCTCCACAGTAGAAATTAGTGTAGCTCCCTTCAAGACATGGCACCAGTACAATATTCCATTGATGGTCGTAGATTTATGAGAAGTGGGGTCTTACCGATCAAGAATAAGTTATTCTTAACTTGTGACTATAGAATTTAGGTAATATCTCTCCAGTCGCAGTCGCTCCTATGTCCCGATTTTCGTATAACCCTATATTTTTCGTTCTGTGGTTTTACCAGTATCCTTGATACAATGTTATCTGGTGCTCTCGGCAGTAGTTTCACTCACTACCTTATAAATCTCTGCTGATATGAAGTATGCCATGTTGGACCGATATATTTTTGTGCCAAATTTCAAGTTATCAGTAACTAATTGCTGTAACCTACCAAAGTCAAACACTTTCAAGTCTAGCAAAGTGAAAGAAAGTTGGCACATGGGTCTGAAGCCTATTAATATTACGAGGTAAAGGAACAGTAGGGAAATAATCCATCCATGGCCTTAAGGTATAATTCAAAAGGGTTCCTTAACAACACTCACGGTAAAATAACTGGATATTCACGCATATGAGTTTGTATTGCTTAAATTCGATTAACTATATAAGGGCTCAGAATTTTCCTTGTTGGAAAACTTTGTAAGAATAATTGTTTTTGAGTATCTAATATTATCGAATATTGTACCTATTTTTGACTGCCTATTCTAATTCCAGTATCAACAATTCCATCGAAATGAAAACTTTTGTGGTCGTACCCCAGTGGTTCATTCATTACGTAGGCAGTAGTACAAAGGCATTGTAGGTATTCCAACATCATCGTAATTTTGTAGATATCTAAGAAATATCTCGTTCATATCCATATTTCATTCAGAGGCTACCAGTCATTGTTGATACACTTGAATTAGGCACGAAATCCTGCATCTTATTAGTTAACATGTTACTTGCTATCACGGGCACAGCATATTACAACCCTGCTGGTTGAAAATCAAGACACTCAGATGCCATTATTTGAGACGGCACATTTGAGTTTTGAAATGTTTATCAACGAGACTAATTGCTTGATTTACTAAAGTATTTGTAACTTTGTTGATAAAACATTCTTACAACTGTTCATAGTTCCTAACAAGCTTTATTGAATACCACATAAACTACTGGAGAAAGCATTAAATCTAAGGTTCTTCAGACGAAATATTTCCTGTTGATCTAATTGTTGTGGTACACAGGATGTCGTAAATCAGTAAATTCAGCGTTTACACATGTCACACGTAAGTCGACGAAAAAGACATCTGATGCTAAGAAGCAAATGCAAGTTATTGGGTTTAATTTATGTAGTGCTGACAACTTCAAAATATGTCCTTGATCTGTAAGGCTCGTTATGAAGCTATCTGAAGCAGATCCGAGTTGTTCAAAAATGGAATTCATGTTTTATTTTCGCCTATAAATGTTAAGTGTTCCACATTAGACGATATAAGATGATGGTAGGTGAACTAGTTGAGCACCAAACTTAATTGATTTTTGATCCATTCTCTTGTCCAAATATGTCATTAACTCGCTTGACGTATGCCGTTATCACCTGTAATAGAATATCTAACAGCCTCATGAAGGTCTAGTAGATTTATTTATTTATTATTATTTTATTTGAACACAAATATTGGCACGAGAGGGCACCAAATACGTATCCGCCACAATAACAAAAAGGTCAGTAGGAGTTGCGATTGATTTGTGTGAGGACTGTGATACTACCCGAGCGCCCAAACCGAAGCAGGTGATTTCTTAGGGCGCCACACCCTGAGCTTTAGACTTAAAGGTCCAAAACAAATGGCAATGAAGTAACGTCAGGAGATGCAGTCACGTGGTAGCCGGTGACCAACAATAGGTTCATACGCCATTTATTCCCTCAGGATTTTGGAGCCCATGTGCGCCATTGGTTTGGAATTAGGGTTTTTCAACTCACTTAGGTAGACCCTCCGTTTCTACCAGCCCAGTTAAAGCACCGGACATTCGCTTTTCACCCTCTCAATTTCGTAAACAACACCTCTGTCGTGAGAAGGCAATGAGTAGGTCTTCATTGTCAGTTGTTGTATACGCGTGGACATATGGTAACATTTTGAGAGTGAAAGCTGACACCTTCCACCCCCGACCATACCTGGGCATTTGGGGGCAAATGACAGGATGGCGAAGGAGGTTCCGCCTATAAATAGTTTGTTTTAACTCGTTTTGTTTCTTTCGTCCGCACAACTTATTCTCGTTATTTTTATTATATATATCTCTCTCAGGTACATTGTTTCGAGCTGTGGGATTGAGAGCCTATCAAGTTAAGTGACAGGTTCTATGTTGCTGGTTCGGTTTTTCATATTTCCAGTATTTTTATTTTCCACGCGTATAGAAGTACTAGGTTTAGCTGAAGTGAAATATTTTGTATTGGGATAGTAAGTAGTATATCATCAAGTGTAGCTGAGTCTTATGAAATATAGATTATAGCTATTTTGAGTTTTTAGTATATTTTAACAGTTTTTTTAGCGAAACTAATCGCATCCACTTATTCCATATCGATGTCGCTTTTAACATTATTCAACTCTATATAATCGATTATTTCATCTTAATTTCACTTCTAACTGCTCATTTATACATTTCTTACTGTATCAAAACATCAATTTCTTGTTTTTGTTTCAGTCTCTTGTTCCTCCACCAAACTATTTCGAGGTGAATACCATTCTAGAAGCGGAGGATCAACGTAGCGCAGCTCTTGTTCTCAATCCATATTCAAACGACCTAATAAAAGCACGTTATGCTAATAATTCTACTATTAGTAATCAACAGCTGTTGGAGACCCCATATAGAAGGTCCAGTCTGAATCCTCACTCCAGTGGAAGTGTCCGACGCTTCAGAGCAGCTTCATTCAGTTTAGCTCGAGTGATAGAAACGTGTGGTCCACGTTTGAGAATACGTCTGGTTGGAACAGATGATCGTAATGATTATTGGTTCTTAGTTGATTCTGATCAAATCAGACCTTATCCTTCTGGAAGTCCACTACAACCACCCTTTGGCTATATGCATAATCATCTTGTGTGGAATCGTACTCTTAAGAAAGCAACTGAAGGAACGCGTTTTGCAGATCCTTCGTGGTTCATTTCAGTAAGTCGTAATCTGTCTTATAGTTCGTATTCTGTTTCCACGTTGTTTCCAATTAGTAATACCGTATTTTTTATATTACAGCAACCACCAGATCCAGAGGATAACTACTTCCAAGTGAATGACAAGTTAGAGGCAGTAGATCGTAGAAATACTCAGCTGATATGTCCTGCATCTGTAGGCGCAGTGAATGGCCACCATATTTTGATAAATTTTGATGGTTGGTCAGGAGCTTTTGACTATTGGGCTCGTTTCGATAGTCGTGAACTATTTCCTGTCGGTTGGTGTAAGTCAGCCAACTACCCTCTTCAGCCACCTGGACCAAACGTTATACGCTCTCCAATTATTCATTCAACCCCTAGTTTCTTGTATGCTCATAATTCTGTTTCCCAAGCTTCCAGCATCTCACCAAAATATCTATCTAAAGTACTTACTAACAGTTGCAGTCGTATCACAAAGACAGATAAAACGTCCTCATGTCCTCGTAAAAAGTTGGGACTTTCAAGAAGAATTAAATCGCATACAAATTTAATTAGGAGTAATTTGCATGACGAATCAGAAAGCTCAACACCTTTCAGGAATCCTTGTGAGCTGTCAGCAAAACAACCTCTAAGTATAAGGAGTTCATTTTCTCCAGTTTTATCAATGCCAAATCATAATAGCGTTGCTTCCGACCATATGGACGTCAATAAAAATGAACGTGTTGATTTGTTTGTGGAACCTAATTCCCTAAATACTTCACAAGTTGATTCTTCCATTCGGTCCTTGACATCACCACCCATTGTCCCTCCTGTCCTAGAAGATGCAAATGATTCTTTAAACACGTTTTACTCTTCGTCTCCCCCTGAACATCCTCCACGAATCGAAGCTTCTGAATTTGTTAGTGATTCTGCGAACGGACGTTCACGACGTTTCAGTGGCCCTTCCGATTGCGTTGTGCGTCTTCAAGCGAAATCGTCACTGATGCCAATGTCCAACGCGTCACATCCTTATGAGCCAGAACTAAAATCATGGAAAGTAGTAACAAAAACTAAGCAAAAAAGCAAACAACACAAACTGAAGCGTCGCAGTGGAAATTCAAAGAAAAAATATCCCAAAATAAAACAGAAATTCAAAATAGCCAAGTAAGCTTCAAACATGTTCAGTCACAGAATTTATCAGTAGATACTCAACAACATCTAACGTACGTAACTAAGTAAAACCTGATAGCTCTGTACATTATATGTTCTTCTAAACCGTGAATAGCTATAAATCTGTGATTGACTCACTTTTTTGTAATGAGGTAGTAACTCACCTTTTATTTCAACTCTGAAGGTCTATTGTTGTTGGTTTCCAGTATGATCTTAATATCTTCATTAGCTATTTTCATACTATAATTTAGCTGTATTTTAAATAAATTAGTGAAAAATGATATATTAATATTGGAGTCTCTGGTTGGTCCGAATTGATGACCGCTTCTAGTACTTTATTTGATCTAATTTCAGTAGTTGTAATACCAGTCATTCAGTTATACGCAAGGTAGAACCTGACATACAAGTATATCGGTTTAAGTTGCCATATTTACATTACATTATGATGTACGTAGAACTTGCTACCGTATGTCGATTTATAGGTAGTAAGCATTAGTATATATATTGTGAGCGTTAACGGCACTATTCGCCTTTCTAAATAAAATTAGCTAAAGTCGGTCAGAACCCTCAGGCTTTACTTGTCTAGTGAAGGCACATCATTAGCTCTTGAGTCGTTAAACGAACACTTATGATGGTTTTCTATAGTTATACATTAAGTATTCGTACCTTTTTTCCATTGTAAAGTTTGTACCTTTCTGCAAATATACTGTGTGGTCAATGCATCCATAAGTTTGATATTGTATTATGTGTACGAAGATTTAAAAAATAGTAAGTGGATGTATTATAACTCTTTTGTTACAGGAAATGGAAGGCCATGCATTATTTATTGTGGGTGCTCGCAACACATTTATACAAGTGGATTGACTTCCTCTCTTTTGTTGAATAACATTGAAATACCTTATTACATGTTCAGACTGTTTGTTCCCTTCCTATTTGTAGACATGTTTTCCGTGATCTTCCTTTCTTTGTTAAGTTTTTCGTCCGATGTTTTCGCTAAGTGTATTAATTTGAATTAGCGAATTTACTTTTTGTTTAAGGGAAGTGTAACTGTATGTTAATGGCACCCAATCATTGAAACTAGAATTCACATCCTATTCTTTATTTTCTTACTTTATAGTAACAGTTTAACTAGTTCGGTGCTGTGCGACTATGAGTATGTTGATTCAGTTTCTTCTCAGCTGAAAGCCTTTTCTGATGTGAGTCAAAACTATGAAAAGTCAATCGCTTATTCAGAAGACAATCCCAATTTGTACAAAAACGAAGCTGCCGATTCTACTGCTTTCTGCAAAAACGATTCTGCATTAACATGTACTCCTGTCTTCATGGCAGATAGAAAGAGTTTATTTAAATCGGAGAACGATCGAAGTAATAGTGCAACCATGGGGTCAAGTTTAGTCTTTCAATCACATATCTCACATGATATCATGCATACGAATGGCTGTTACTTTGACGAAATGAATTCTCCTACTCATGATAATTTATCTGTTGAAACATCCGATTCACATTTGTGGTTTTCTGGAAAGTTAGAGTCTAATTCTAATAAATCTTCTTATCCTGTGTACGCTCATCAAAATGTTGATAGTTTAGATAGTCAGAGTCTAACTACACATCTCCCTTCGTCAACAGTATCTCCTTCATCACTGGGTAAGTTTGTGCCCATATCTAGTAATGCTATAAAACCTAGACTATCTAGCATAAGGTCTGCAGTTTTCATATTTATCGTTCTCAGTGGGAGAATATGAGCGATTCAGAGTTTTATTGTTGTACTATTATAATAACTTCTTATTTGTCTCTGTTCAACGTAACTTTCATTGCCCATTGATGTTCATGAAGAATCCAATATAATTTTATTTTCAACATGACTGGAAAATATTTCCACTTTTGAACATCTATGAATAGTAATGTTCATTTTCAGGTGAACTCTAAGTTCATCTAATCGCTTTTAATACAAAAAATCAAAAGGTCACTCCTGTTCCCTGTGCTACTATAAACGTATTTTTAAGTCAAATACCATATCAAAGCGTCTCATCTATATATGACGAAGTCCATTACGTTAGTCTGTTTGAGCATTTAGTATGAGAATTAATTTCTAAATCTGCTCCTTAGTTTTGGTTTTCGAATAGCTATCCGTATTTCCAACTGACGCTTCAACAAGGCTTCAGTCATCACGTTTGGGAACTCATCTACTTTCCGAGTAAATTCAGTAAAATGTTCGATTGTCAATTCTAGCGTCACATTGTTAAGGCTTAGAAATAATAGAACTCTAGTTTTGCGTTGCATCCTCAGTAAAATTCATGCTGTGTATAGGTCAAGCAATCAGTTAGTCTCCCCAGATAGTTGATTGTTCCGTTTAGATCACACTTTTTTTTCTGATATCAACATGATACTGTCCCAGTTGATGAATTAATTAAGTTGTTTAGCAACGCTACTATTTTTTTTCTCGAGCTAATTTCCTATTATTTTTTGATCAGTTTCGCTTATATCCCTGTTAGTAGCTTCTGTAAAATGATCCCCACAGTGTTCTGTCAAGATAAACCGTCCTATTTATTAAAGTTGTTCAGCTATAAAAAAATCCAGTAATTTATCCGTTTTTGTAAACCTCTAAGGTTGAGATGTTCAAATAGTCATAGTTTTTTTTAATAGTTGTATGTGGTAACTAAACATACCTTTACTCATTCTTTGTTGTAAAATAAACCCAAGTGGCCGGATATATTTTACCCATATATGTATATATATGAATTATAACCGTTTTTGAGTTAAAAATCAAGAGTAGGACATCAATTTTTTGTTATTAGCCAATTTATTCTATAAGGGAAATGATGCTATTAAAATTGTAAATTCTCTGTATCGTACATTTTACAATCTCCAGTACGTGTACTAGATAATAATCTTATCTCATGCGTTTGATAATTCTGATAATCTTAACACTTCCACTGACTGAGTTAGGCCAATAGTATGGGGCTCAGTTGTGCCAAAAGTAACTTATCTCGGTATAGACTTCCTTGGGTTGTGGTAGCTTTTATTGGACACGATTTATATGACATCTGGCACTGACTAAATGGAGAGATGAGGTTGAGAACTTCTAGAAGTTGGCATTTTTTAAATGCACACAGTTGTGACTGCTACCTTTACGCAGTGGTCAGGCTTGCCTATCGTGATGACCCAACCGAGCTATATTGGCTGGAACATATGTTCCTGTAGGTTCTACCGTGCCAGGCAGGTCGATTGGAGAATGGTAAGACTAAAAGCAGCAACTCCAAGGTCTGAGGGTGAATTCGTACTGCTGACTGTAGAGGGGTGTAACAGCGGTAAGGTGTTTCCCTCGGACAACCAGCATCTGCAGCAATGCTGCCTTCTCACAAGAAAGGAGGGGGTTAAAAATGGTTGACCCTAACCTCATGGATTTCCGTCTCCGGTGGTAAGGCCCTTTGAAGAACGGAGCTAACACATCAAAAACCTCCCACAAAAAGGCCGTGAGCGACCGGCCTCAAGCAGTTGTCTCCTGGGCTTTGCGGTCACGCTCCCAGGTTGTTAAGGCCGACATTAATCCGACTTCCTTTTCAGGTTCCTCTAGAGATACCCTTCCACGGTGTGGTTAACCGGGAAGTGCATCAGCCCTCATACCCGTAACAACACACGAGACCAAGTTGGTCACATTCAAATCCTTCCTACACCTCTTAATACCTCTCTTATCTCCATGACTAACCCTCCTCACGTTCCTTTATCACCTCGCACCGCTAGGGCAAACGATTTGAGTACACGGAACGTTATTCCTGGTCTCCTGAAACCACGCTCTAAACTACATGTAGGAGCTTTTAGCGTACGAACACTGCCAAATAGGACAGCAGGCTTCCTTAGCTAGGACTATAGAATCCCGCGCCATCGATGCGTGTTGCGTCTCCGAAACGCGCATACAGGACCCCGGTAGCATCATTTACTTGACATCACCATGTCAAAACAACGAACCAACTCGATTCACACTTCGTGTATCTGGAAGCCCAGATTCTGCTTCTCGTGGACTCGCCGGCGTAGGTATAGCATTGAGTCCTAGGGCAGAACAAGCTCTCTTGGACTGGATCCCGGTAGACAGTCGTGCACTGTCCGACTAAACGGAACAATAAGGACTCGGAAAGATAGGGACACTCGTCGTTGCCTCTTCGTCGTCTCTGCCTATTCTCTCACTGACTGCAGCTCAGATGATGTAAAAGATGAGTTTTACATAAAGCTCTCCGACCTTCTCCGAAAAGCTAGGCTCTCGGATGTAGTAATAGTGTCCGGTGACTTTAATGATCAAGTAGGTAAACTAAGCGGAAGGGAAAGACACCTAGGTGGATCTTATGGTGTCGTGGCTCAAATAACAGATAATGGCGACCGTCTGTTGCAGCTATGCTCAGATAACCGCCTGTTCCTTGGAAATACTAACTTTAAGCATTAGGAAAAACATCTTTTGACATGGCGACCCCCTAATTCGTCCCAACGTTGGACCCAAATAGATCACATGGCTGTCAGCCACCGATGGAGGGGCTCGATAGAAGACTCGTTCATTCTGGAGCACATGCTTAGATTCAGATCATGCTCTAGTACGAGCGCGTATTTGCCTGCGTCTTACTGGACGTAAGAAAGACGCTGCAAGGAAACATCTTAGGGTCCTGTTTAGTGATAGTCAAACTAAGAGTATATTTCAGGAACAACTAGGAAAACAGTTAGGCAGCTATTTAGGTGATGCCCACCCCGAGGCAGTATGAAATGATACCCGAAAAGCTGTGGAAATAGCAGTGATATCTGCTAGTACGGTAAACCGTAAGGTTAGGGAGCAACACCGGATCTCAGCAGCATCTACCGCACTGATAGATGCTCGAAAACTTATCCCGTCTGGATCTGAACATGACGAAGGGCGGAGTCAGCTTGAGCGCAAGCTGACAAGAAGCCTACGCAATGATCGCGAACACTGGTGGGTAGCGAAAGCAAGAGAGATAGAAAAGACTGCGGCAATAAGTAACAGCAGACGACTGTTCAAACGTGTTGAGCAAGCCGGTATTAGGAATCCAACTGTTAACGAAACTATCTCGGAAAAAATGGACGTATTATTCACTCTCAATCCAGGAGATTGGATCGATGGGCAGAACACTTTATGGATCATTTCAGCCACACTTCGGTTTCCCACGATCTCCAGTCAACCTGAATGGCAAGTTAGTGTAGGTCCTCCGACTCTTTATGAAGTTGAAAAAGCCATAGAAAATCTGAAGCGAGGGAGAGCAGCAGGCCTTGACAGGTTCACTCCCGCTATTTTTAAGGATGGTGGTCCAGTACTAGCAGTGAGATTAACTGAGGTCTTAGATAGAATCTGGGAACTGGATGTAATCCCATCTGACTGGTTTCAATCACTGATTGTGCCAGTCTATAAAAAAAGAACAAAAGTCCTCTTGTGGCAATCGGAGGAATCAGTTTGACTAATATAGTGTCTAAAATGTTAGCTTCAATAATACGTCGACGCCTAACCAAAGCTGTTGAAGAACACGTTAGAGAAAACCAGACTGGTTTTCGACCTGGACGAGGTTGTGTAGACCAGATATTCACACCACGTCAGGTTCTAGAACACAAACACACATTCAGACGCCCCACAATGGTAGTATTTATCGACCTTAAGGAGGCATTCGACTCTGTTGATCATAAGGTTCTATGGCAGTATTTGTCACTGAAAGGAGTACCAAAGAAGCACGTTAATCTTGTAAAGGCTCTCTACTCGAACACAACTGGTCGCGTGAGAGCTTATGGCGAACTGTCATCAGAATTGATTACCTCAAGTGGTGTTCGTCAGGGCTATCCACTCTCTCCATTCTTGTTCAACTTTGTCGTCGACGTGCTTTTAGAGATAACACTTTCCTCATCTAAATTTCCAGGAGTTGAACTTTTACTGTGAGATTCACCTATTGACTTAGAATATGCGGATGACATTTGGTGAAGACGCTGACGAAATGCAGTCT